GCCTCCACACAAACCCTAGGAAACTAAAATTAATTCCCATCAAATAGGAAACATAACCCTAATTTAAATGGTAAAATTCGCCTAAAATCTGAACAGCCATGTTTTGGACCCATAAGCTGCTCCAAAACTGGCCCAATATAGCTGAACTTAATGTTTTGACTATTCTGAACACTTCTCCAGAAGGCTACGAACCCATCCGAGGTCATCTTGGGCTCCAAAAACGCAATTTAAGCCCAAAAACGTCATTTTCCAACACTGCGCACTGCTTCTTTATTTTATCGCCAGAAAATAACCGCTTGGTGGAAAAATCCCAAATTTTGATACGATCAAGCTAAGTGACTCACGAACGTCCTCCAACTAGAATTACTCCAAAATTCGTCCATTTGGTCCTGTTTTGCTCCAGATGAAGTTGGAAGTCCTATATTGAAAATACAATTCAAAGTATCAAAATTCTTCCAATATATTAACCAAAATACACTAAGATTAGGGTAAAATATATAATATAAAATCTACTCATCAAATACCCCCAAACTTAGCTTTTTGCTTGTCCTCAAGCAAAACAAGACTCAAACAAAAATTAAAACTTAACAAACTAGACAACCTGCTAAAACTCAACCAAGACAAAACTTCCACCTTCAAGTTGCAATCCATAGCAAATTTTAAAAACTAGAACATCTTTTCAAAAGTTCCAACTAATCCCACCACAGAGTCTAAACCATTTAGAATTAATTAGAAAAGAATTCACAAACTTCATTTGGTGTAAAGTGAACCACATAGTTAAGGAAACTCGACTAAAACCCTTACCTCTCGTCCTTCTTTATTTCACACATGCTAACATTAAATATAACTATTTTTCTTTTTCTCTTCAATTTTTTTTCTCTTTTTTTTTTCATTTTTTTTTCAGTAACAGTAGTGGTCGTGCAATGTCGGTTCACTTAAGCTTTCGATCCAACCCATGTAGCAAGCTTTAGGTCAATGACTCCGAAACCACTAGGGCTTTAGGGCACTAGGTGTAGAACACCTCTAAGGACTTATTAACCCGAGCTGAAAAGGCTACGAAACCAACTAACCACCATGCCCCATGCCAAAACTCTACCGTTTGACGCGAGAATCACTGCTGATTAGGCAGGACTGGCCCAGTTACTAGGCAAAACCTCAGGTGAGACAATTATTACTTTATTCACAATAATAACTGACCTTACTTAAAACAAAAATTAAAAATAAACTTAGACTAAAAGCAAGTGTTTCAATCTCACTCCCCACAAACCATGTTGGTGTGATGTGCAAAGTTCAAAGTATAATTCATGAATTAGTGTCTAAGCAACGATAAATAGCAAAGACTCTAATGTGGGATTAACCTTCACCATGTCCATTTGTTCTAACGTTTAAAATAATCTATGGATATTAACTTTAAAAAGAATGAAAACTTTTAACTGACACAAAAATTAAAAACCTAAAATGTTATTTTCCCACCCCCAAACTTATTTCACACGTTGTCCGCAAGGTGTGGAAAATAAAAGAAAATAAAAAAAATAAATAAAAAAATGGACACAAAAAACGATAGAGCATAACAACCTGAACTCAACTAAATAAACTAAGCTTATGGAAAAACATGAAAAAGAAAACTAGATGAAAATAAGCTGACAGAAAAACAAAAAACCAAAAAAACAAAAAAAAGAGAAAAGAAAAAGGTAACCTGAAGTGCAGGGCTTTCCCATGCAAGCCTTGTGCAATGTTGATAAAAGAACTGAAGTGGGCCACGAGAAAAGCAAAGAAAATGGCATGGGTTCGCGACATAATGCAGCCCACTTGGCTGCGCACGCAGGCCACACACGTGCCAAACCCGAGCTCGGTTATTTGAAAGCGTTGGATTCCCCAGGAGAACGACACAGCATGTGTGCACCAAAACCCGAGCACCAGTATGTGAAGACATTGGATTCCCTGCGAACCTCGATTACCTAACCGAACGGCTTTTCTCTTTTCACCTAGGCTAGAGCCAAACGGCTCCATTTCTGAGGCATTTCAAAACCCCCACTCGGCAGATAAGGGAAGCTGTCAGATTTGCACACGTGTCGTGCATCCGGGTGGTGAGGTCCTTAGGATTCTAATTGAAAAGCTCCATTATGTTCCATTTCTCTCAGAAACCAGTTCTCTCTAAAAGGGAAAGACCTCTCATTTTTTTGCTCAACCCACTCTTTCCTTTTTGCTCGCAGACCCCATTTTCTGTAAAATGAAAAATATCTCCCATTCTCACCCTTAGCCAACCACACCCACGGCTCGGCAAAAGAAACCAAAACAATCGACTTTGCCTTGGAAATGATGGTACATTCAAGCTCCACACGCCCCTCAAAGGTAATCATCGCCCCTGTCCTGCTCAATTTATATGTCCAACTAATGATTCTAGATAGAAAAGAAGAACACTAACTCATGTTGATCTGATTCCTTTGCGAGGATGCTCGGGTACACAACGAAAAAGGTCACACTAGGACCAAAAAGGGGCAAATCCAAGGTTGATCGTCCAAAGATCATCCATCTGTAGGTACAACTCAGTCACCGTAGCCCTTGTTTATTTTGTGTTCTTAGTAACTGGTAGAGCACCATTATGTTGTGACTGATGCATGTTGGTGTGTTGTTGATATAGTTGGGATGCAGTGGTCCATGATCGAGAAACTTGACACAGCAAGGAAAAAAAAAAGCACCAGCTACTACTTTGCAGATCCAGGTCTTACAAAGGTAATATCTTGTTCTCCGTTGGTGATGAACCCCAATATGTGAAAAAAATTGCTTCATTACTTATGCTTGTAGTCAGACATGTGTTGCTTGTGCAGAACACTCGGATCCATGACAGACCTAAGGGAAGAAAAAAAAAAGTAACCACACAAGCTCAACGGACGAAAACAGCAAAGGCCGCATGACCCAAATATGTGCATCTGGGAGGTAAACTTTGAATCCCTGCAAGTTTAGTTGTTGTAGATCTGGTAATAATAGTTGTACTCAGTTTTGTGGTGTATGGATCTGTGATTTAACTGTGCTTCTCCTCCATGCATCGCAAAACTGAGCTGCAGAAAATTAACTGCTCAAAATTATGTCTCTGTGCTGGATCTGCAACAATCTCCCCCAAACTTGCATCTGTGAATGACTTTTTATGTTGACTGCTTTAAATTTCCAGCATAGTGTAGATGTGGTTGATGTAACGGTAGACTTGCTGCTGGGTGCAGGATTCCAGCATAGGACACGCTTTATTTTCCACGTTCGCAACTTGCAATTAACCAATGTGCGTATATTAAAAACGGAGCTAAAATCAACTGCGTGAATAAAGAAAAAAAAATTTGGATTTTTCACGTTTATTTTTATTTATTTTTATTTTTTTTAATAAACTTAGGTATGGAAATGCATCCAGAAAAAAAAATCAAACGAAAAATAAAATAAGGAAAGAGTTTAGAAAAATTGGGTTGCCTCCCAACAAGCGCTTTATTTTAAGTTTGTAGGTAGACGTTGCAAAAATCTGATGGCTAGATCACTGGTTCCTTCAGAGTTGATGACTTGCCTACACCATGTTTCTCTATGCATGGTTTTAGTTGATGTTTGGTAACCTTCAATGAGAAATCTGTGCCCTTAGCCTTAATGTCCACATTACCATTTTGAAAAACTTTAGTAACTAGAAAATGACCTTTCCATTGAGACTCTTGTTTCCCTGGAAATGACTTGAAATCTGAACTTAATAACCACACTTTTTTACTAGGCTGTATTTTCTTAAAATTTGGGCTGCTTGGCAAATTTTCATGCTTTTTCATAGTGTTAATTGGCTGGTCATCATGTAGCACCATTTGCTGCTGTGGTTTAGAACTTGTACAATCACGAGTTACATTCGGGGGCTTTATGGACAAATGGTCAGTTGATGATCTGTTCATAAACTTGGCACTTAGTAAACCATCAAATGCATCAACACACATGCATTCTTGCTTGTCACCTGAATGTAAGCTTGCTTCAAACAACTTGAAAACAACAGTTTGATCTTCAAACCGGAATGTTAATGTTCCGGCTTCAACGTCAATAAGAGTCCGGGCTGTTGCCAGAAATGGGCAACCCAAAATGATGGGTGTTGTCAAATCCTCATCCATGTCCAACACCATAAAATCCACCGGTAAATATAAATTGTCAACCTTCACAATAACATCTTCAATGACTCCTCTAGGGTAGGTAATTGAACGGTCAGCCAATTGAATAATACTGGAGGTTGGCTTCAGCTCACCTTCACCTAAACGTTTGAAAACAAAATAAGGCATTAAGTTTACACGAGCACCTAAATCAATTAAAGCACTTTTAAAATCAGAATTGCCAATAGTACAAGAGATAGTAAAACTCCCTGGATCTTTTTTCTTTGGAGGCAATTTATGCAATAAGACCACACTGCATTGTTCTGTTAGAATTACTTTTTCAAAATCAACGAGCTTCTTTTTCTTTGTGCAAACATCCTTCAAACATTTGGCATAAGATGGAATGTTCTTGATTGCATCAATTAACGGTAGATTAATTTGAAGTTTTGACAAAGTCTTCATAAAATCTGTTAATTGTTGATCTTTAGTTTTAGGTCTCAACCTTTCTGGATAAGGCATAGGTGGCTCATAAACACGTTCTGCAGTTTTTGTGGTAGCTTCTGCAGTATTTTCGGATCTGTCTTGGGACTGCCCAGAATCTGCAGAAATTTCAGAATCTGCAAAAATTGCAGATTTAGTTTGGGGTAGTTCTGCTGCCTGCGAATTTCCAACAGAATTTTCATGTCTGTTGTTGTAACTTTTGCCAGACCGTAGAGTCCGTATAGCATTGCATTCTTCTCGTCCTCTTGGATTAGGTACTATTTGACTAGGAAATGTACCCGGAGCTCTTTCTGAAACCTGTAAAGCAATCTGCCCAATTTGTTTTTCCATGTTTTTCATTGATGCATGCAAATTTTGGATTTCTTGATTGGTAGTATTTGCTAATTTTTCAATTGCAACCTCCTAAGCAGCCTTAGGTGCAGCAGGTTGCTGTACCTGCTGTTGAAATTGAGGTCTTGAGTGCTGATCTTTGTCCCACTTTAGATTAGGATGATCTCTCCAACCTGGGTTGTAGAAATTCGAATACGGGTCATATGTGGGACGTTGGAAATTGTTAAAAGAATTAACCTGCTCCGCTATAAACTCCGGATAAACATCTTTATGTGGACAGCTCAAAAAATCATGATTTGTCAAGCTGCAAATGCTGCAGGCAGCTTGTAAAGGCTGCTGTACAGCAACCTGTGAACCCGAAATTCTTTGTAATAACATGTCAAATTTTGCATCAAATCTTTCAAGCTTTTTCTCCATTTTTTCAATTTGTGCCGACACGTATGGTGAACCATTTGACATCTCAAAAACGGATCTAGATTGTGGCTGCTCAACTGCCCATTGTTGTGTATCTGCTGCCATTTTTTCAAATAATAAACAAGCCTCTTGTGCATTTTTATCTTTGTATGAACCTCCGCAAGATGCGTTGACAAGAGTTTTTGTAGTCATATTCAACCATCTGAAAAATATATGCATTTGATCATTAGTGTTAATACCCGAATGTGGACATTTTCTAATCAACTCTTTGAATCGCTCCCACGCCTCATGAAATTCTTCATTTGGCTTTTGGGCAAATGATAAAATCTGAGTTCTCATGTCAAGAGTCTTCGAAGCTGGATAATACTTGTTTAAAAAAATTTCACTGAGTTGGGCCCAAGTTGTAATGCTTCCAGATGGGAGTGTGAGAATCCATCTCCTTGCTTGATCTTTTAGAGTGTATGGAAACAAACGAAGCTTAATAGATTCGGCTGAAATTCCCCTTACCAAAATATTTATGCAACCCATTAAAAATTCTGCAATGTGCATGTTAGGATCATCAGATGATAACCCATGAAACATAAGTAGAATATTCAACATGTGCTGCTTTATTTCAAATGCAGACCCTTCCTTCACTGCCGGATAAGTAATGCAACTTGGTATATTTGTGGTATGGGCTGTCAGTGAATCTCCCAGGGGCAGACCAGCTTCTGGAATTACAAATGCCATTTTTTCTTTGCTGTGCAGGTTTTCAGAATTTAAAGATTGTAGACAAGTTACCTGCAGAGGAGGAACCCTCTGCAAAGTTCGCTCCCTGCGTTTCCTCCTTAAATTCTGCTCAAGTTCTGGATCAAATGAAATCAATTTCTGCACTGTTGAACGGGTGCTGACCATGCACAGATTTCTGAAATCTGCACTATTGTACTGTTGTAATCTGTAAAAATAAAATAAAAACGAAATTTTTTTTTTTTTAAATATGTATAAACAGCAATAACTAATTGAAAATCTGATTCGTAGGGATTATTTTAAATATTCCCTGGCAACGGCGCCATTTTCTTGATAGGATTTTTACTACTCATATGAACGGGCTTAAATCTCCTATTTACTTGCAAGAATCACAAGGTTATTGTTGTATAAACAGATCTCGCAAGGTCGTCTCCACAGGGATTATTAAATAATTCCAAACAAAACCAAATTTCAATTAATTATTGTAGAGTAGAAGTTTAGGTGATTGATTTTATAACCTAATTAAAATAAAAACGAAATTAATGAATTAAAATAAACAATCAGCAATATTAGAGCTAGAGAGAAAATAGAATAGTTTTGGGAGGATCAAATTAAGAAAGCACTAGGGTTCCACCATCACCTAGCAATCCTATGAATTTTTACCAATTACTTATGATCTACACATGCCACTTTGAAGGTTAGATTTTCCTAATTCATATTCTACTTAGAACCTCCAACATAGAACGTATATCTAACATGCAACCCGTCCGGACGTTCGGATCAAATCTGAACATGAAAGACTCATTATGCTTTATGAAAATCCTTTGAAAAACCATGCAATCCTTAAGACGTGATATTCATCCTAAGTGAAATTACAATTATTAATCACAAGAAACCAACGTCAATTTCAGGGAACCTTCCGACTAAAATTGCATCAAATTACTTTTCTAAAAATCCTAATGGTGATCAGGCATTAAAACAATTAGATAGTTTTTATCCCGGTGATTAACAATTCAAAGTACACATGCAATCAATCATAAGCAATTAAATAAAAATCACATATTCATGCTAAGGCTTAAGGTTTCGCCCTAGCAAAAGAAATTAGTTCCGCATACTCATAATTAAAATCATAGAAAATATATTCAAGAAAAGGATTGAAAGCACCTTCAAGTAAAAAGTCTCCAAAACCCTAACAATTCTCTCTGTCTCCAAAATTGCATAAAAGAAAGCGTAAAGAAAAATGGTAGACGACCGAGCAATATATCTGCTCAGCCTCCACACAAACCCTAGGAAACTAAAATTAATTCTCATCAAATAGGAAACATAACCCTAATTTAAATGGTAAAATTCGCCTAAAATCTGAACAGCCATATTTTGGACCCATAAGCTGCTCCAAAACTGGCCCAATATAGCTGGATTTAATGTTTGGACTATTCTGAACACTTCTCCAGAAGGCCACGAACCCATCCGAGGTCATCTTGGGCTCCAAAAATGCAATTTAAACCCAAAAGCGTCATTTTCCAACACTGCGAACTGCTTCTTTATTTTATCGCCAGAAAATAACCGCTTGGTGGAAAAATCCCAAATTTTGATACGATCAAGCTAAGTGACTCACGAACGTCCTCCACTGGAATTACTCCAAAATTCGTCCATTTGGTCCTGTTTTGCTTCAGAGGAAGTCGGAAGTCCTATATTGAAAATACAATTCAAAGTATCAAAATTCTTCCAATATATTAACCAAAATACACTAAGATTAGAGTAAAATATATAATATAAAATCTACTCATCACCCGCCTCACCTTCCAAAGGAGAGCCTTCTGAACTCCCTTTTTTTTTTATTGGTAAAACAGGAGGACCACGAAATCAAATCTCACAAATTAGTTTTTTGTTTTTTTTTAAACATAAATCCCAGAACTTGTTCTCCAACCTTCTAATTTAAAATTGATAAAGTACAATTCAATTATTGTTTTGTGAACTTTTCTTTTATTTAAATGCATGCTTGGTTTCTCAATGTCACTTTCTTTGTCCATTGGTCGTGATAGATGTAATGTGCTAGATGGCTTTCCCAAAAGGGAAATAATATTAGGGTTTGGGACGGATTAAAATATCTTAAATTCTGATTTCCATTTTCCACTTGAAAGTGCTTTAGATTACTTTTTTTGTATCTGAAGTGAAATTCAATGATTAAGAATCCAACTCGATCGGATTCAACTTGAAATTTGATCTCTTACAATTGATTAAGGAGAGGATAGTTAAGTTTGTGTTGTCATAGCTCATTTTTCTGTGTGTCATTGCCAATGTTCTTGTTAAAACTGTGACCAACGTTGGCTGATAGAAACTTTTGACGGCTCTTGGTGCTAACCAAGGCTTATGGGTTTGTGGTGGCGCTACGGCGACCATGGCGGCTCGGGCTGAGAATCCCCTTACCACCCATCCTTTTGTGCGATGTCCTATCTACAATTGGCGTCTCAAGTGCCTTGCCTAGCCACACCTTCTGCCAACTCTGTACCCGCCTCTCTTATGTGGACATGTCATCGACTCTACTTTTATTTTTTAGTTTAGTTTATGCTTTTGTTTATACCACTTAGAGCGGGTTAGGTAGTAGTGTTGTTTTGTGTCGCTATGATGATTTGTGTGAACTTGTTTATTGCGATGGCTTTATGTGACGGTCTAGGCTTGTTGTGTCTATCGTTATTGTGAAAAATCTAAATCGAATCTCTTGATTCTAGTGCTATGTGTGGTGGTCGTGTAAGGGTTTAAAATCATTTATGTTTTATGTGAATTACCTCTAGATCAAGAAATTGGTCACTACAGAAATGTACTTATCTGACACCTCTTTGTAATTGGTTATTCTAGGTATAAAACACTCTATCGATTCTGTACAAACAAAAGGTTTGTGTTGCCACATTATCTATCCCAAATGGTTGGAATTGAGTTTGAGTTAGTAGTCCAAAGTCCATTTTAAATTCTCCACACAAATCATCAATAACCAACTATAGATTACAATGAATCTAAATTATACATTTACACAAAAATACACTTAATAAATGATTATATGTTGTTAGACTATCTGAAAAGACAACATTTTTTATAGTATGTAATAAATATTAGACAAGAGATAATATTTGTCAAACTTACATCTTTTAATTTTTAAGTTAAACCTCACATGATCAATTTAGACAATCAAGCTTCACGAAACTTTTCAAGCATTGAGCTTGAATGTATTTGGTCTCCAATTAGTTTGAGCTCAAATCAAATCAACTCAACTCAACTCAACTCAATACGGTTCAAATATCGTATTAACGTAGGAAGGGAGAATCGAACTTAACTATAAGCTTGATAACGCTCCTTTTTGGATCCGAATCCTTGCCTATTAAACCCGCCTTTACTTGCACCCCTACCCACTATATAACATTAAAGATCATTTCATAAATGAGGAAGAAATTTGGCAAAAGTAAAAATCAGAAGAGGTCTTGTATGACATGTATCATTGTTTCTCAACGAATCCAGCAAATCTTTGCCTAGCCAAAAAGGAAAAAGAAAAAGGGAAGAAATGGGAAAAAAGAAAAAAGGCACTACTAGTACTACCCCGTATTTATAAATTGATGGGTACCCCCCAACTCCCAGCAGCAGCAGCCTATTTCGTTGTTGCCTTTCGTCTTTAAACCAAAAAACCCCGCAGCAGCCTTCTTGTTCCTTAACAACCATTTCTCTCTTGGGCTTCTTCGTCTCCATAGCAACCAGATATCTTTCTCTTTCTCTTTCACTTTCACAACCATTTCTCTGTAACTTTTCGTAGTTCACCCTATCCCTTTGTTATAATAATATTTCTACCTGCATTTCCAAAACCCATTTGACAAACACTCATTGCTACCAGAAAGTTGACTTTTTTTTTTCAGAAGAAGAAAAGAAGAGCAAAAGACAGCAACCCAGATCAGTGATGATTAGTAGTTAAAGTTTACTACACATACAAAAAATGAATCTTGATCAAGACCCAGTAAGCTTTTCGTCTTCGAGTGCGGCCCCTGATCATCCTCTGCCATTGGAGAGGCTCTATGACCAAGGTCCTCCGGCATTTCTCACCAAAACGTATGACATCGTCGATGACCCATCAACCAACCACATTGTTTCATGGAGCAGAGACAACAACAGCTTTGTTGTTTTGGATCCCAATAGCTTTGCCATGAGTCTTCTCCCCAGATATTTCAAGCACAACAATTTCTCCAGCTTTGTCAGGCAGCTCAACACCTATGTAAGCATCACTCTCTAGCACTCCCCTTTTATCTGCATATTATGCAAAGTGTGCAAACCCGAGCGTAGTCTTGTTGGCTAGAGTAGTTTACTCCCCTTTTGCACGAAGTTGGAATCTCACTTCTCCTAGTTAAGATTGGATTAGATTATCGCTCAAAAATGAAATTTGGATATTGAATACATATTGGTGAGGTTCTTTGGATGTGACTAGTTTGTGCATTCATGCTCTTGAAACAGCTATAAATGTGTCACTTTTATTTGTTTAATTGGGTCCTTTTTTTGTTTTTTTTAATGGGGTTACTAAATGTGGACATATTGTTTGTTAAATGGCTTCAAAAGAGAAACTGCAGGAACCAATGTATAAAATATGCACGACTATTACAAAGGGAGCTGCTTTTGCTTCTATTTTAAATCTTGATGAATCGGTTTTTGTTTGTTTGATTTTTTTAATCTCACTTTCCTTTTCCTTGGATGTGTCGGATTTAAAGCTTCATACGGATGATGTGATCATGGAGAAGTTCTTTAATTTGCTTAATGTAGGGATTTAGGAAGGTTGATACAGACAGATGGGAGTTTGCTAATGAAGCGTTTCTCAGAGGGCAAAAGCATCTTTTAAAGAATATCAGGAGGAGGAAGGCATCCCATCTTCCTCAGGCTTCACAGAAAACTTTGGACTCTTGTGTAGAAGTTGGGAGGTTTGGATTGGACATAGAGATCGACCAGTTGAGGCGCGATAAACAAGTACTAATGGGGGAACTAGTGAAGCTTCGACAGCAACAGCAAGCTAATAGAGTTTACCTCCAAGGAATGGAAGATAGACTGAAGAGGACAGAGTTGAAACAACAACATATGTTGAGTTTCTTGGCAAGGGCAATGCAGAATCCTAATTTTGTACAACAATTGTCTCAGCAGAAGGA